GTGCATATCAAAGATTCCCATCGTGACAATTAGAAAAACAAACATAAGCGAACAATAATTTTTTTGCTATTAGATCGTCATCAGGCTTTACCTTAATATACATGAATGTTCAAATGAAAATATTTAACCAATCAAGGCAATGAAATAGATCGCATAACTAAATATAATAAATTATATGATTATTAGCCAAACATTAATCGATGAATTACTGATGTACATTTTGAGAATCTGTAATCCCAAACAAATGACTTTGTATCAACCTCATTGGACAAACTAGCTAAGTTTAAGACTATCTTAGTCGAGAGATGTTAACAGTACAATAATAGTAAATATACCTTTTGCGAGGACAGTTCACAGGGGAAATCGAGGAAGCTGTAAAAATTTCAGAAAGAGCCGATCATATTCCATCCAATCACCTTTTGGAAGAATATACTAGAATCTCTACATACAGCTTCCCGAGCGGACAATACTAATAACCCCCTGTGTGAGGATTGGATAGTTATATTAATGATTTCGTTTTTACTTAAATCTATAAATACCTGACAGTTTGTACTATAATTTGATACTGTCTGGAATAACATTCCTTTCACTTGTCTTCTGTCTTCTCATTTACGACATGGAAGAGTTCTAACGTTTAAGTGATCAAATTATACGCGTCATATCAAAAATATAAGCTCTACATATAACACCTTTACAAAGGAAATCTGGTCAGGTGTCTTACAAACAGAGAAAAATTGATCTGATTAAATATTGTCATAAAGAAGGAGTTGGGGTTTGTTAAAAATATGCTAATTGAGATAGGCTACTCAACAAGTATTTTAACGAAGTACACGTATACAGGGAAAAAATAAGTTGAAGATATTGGTCATTTGTAAGAAACCCCTATTCCTAAAATTATAATGCGGCAGGGATGTCACTAGCAATATCTTACATGATAGATTAGCAAAATCTAATAATAAAACATTCAAGCGAATAAAGGTTTTCAATTAAATCGTCATCAGGCTTTACTCTAGTATACAAAAATATTTATAAAAAATGTTAAACCAATCAAGGTAATTCGGCTCAATAATCATTGTGATTGATTGGTTTAACATTTTCGTATAAATATTCATGTATGTTAGAGTAAAGCTTGATGTGGATCTAATTGAAAACAATTGTTCGCTTACATGTGTTGTTCTAATTTTCACAATGGGAATCTTTAATATAATAAAACATTCAACGCAGCTAACCTTGTGTTGACATTTCATATTAGGCTAGCGATATATCCTCGAACAAATGATAAATTTACTGTGTCTGCCTCTTCGATGTGCATCTAAAAATTCACCTGTTTTTTCAGGGATAGCTGTGTTGGGCATACTACCGAGCAACTTAAACAACGAGTATTTGAAAGCCTTCCATCTTGGTTTAGGAAGTATCAGACAAGACGATACGCAACTTTATCTAGGAACACCTGGTTGACGGTGGTCATATGGTAAATAAGACTAGATCATTTCGAGTGATTCATCGTATACTATCGTCACTTCTAAATACTGTCTCCTACATACGGCGAAAGCTATAGGGATCCAAACCTATAACTCTGGTTTCTGTGTTCAGAAAAAAATCCGTTACATCTCTGTCCCACTTCTTAGGAAAAATGTACTCTGGAATCATTTACAAGTTAACGATAACTAAACGAAAGTTGAGAAGGATTATCTAATTCACCAAGCGAAAACATTCTTGAAAGGATCAGTATGGTGACAGAATTAGTATACAAGTATAACATCAGGCCAGAATTCTGATGACTTCTTAAGATATTTTAATTACTGGAGGCAAAGTTATGAAACGTTTGCTAACAGAAATATCGAGTAATGTAAAACTTGTAATGTGGATGTACTCTGAAGTTTACTCAATAACTATTTTATACCTTTCATTTAAGTGTTTGTTGAGTTGACAAGTTATTTGTTATCATCCAAACCATACATATTGAAAGTGTATTCTATCATTTCATTCATTTTATGTTAAGATATTTCTTCACTTTTGTAACAATTGTTAATCAATAGAAGTAATCTGTTATAGAGAATCAGTCAAGTAACGAAAAACGTAATATGTGATCTAGCTAATAAAAAAAGATTTGTCGGACAGCATTTCATCTCTTAGTTTTAAGACTTTTAACCTCTCTGACGTGACAACCTATCTTTCAATCATCGTTGAAGGAACGTTCATATTTATCAGTTCAATGTTGACCATCATTCTATTGATGATTTCTCTCAATGAACTAATAAGTTTTAAACCCCAGAATAAAGCGTTAGGAGTTTGCGAAGAATTCGTAAAATTATATAAATTACATTGCATTTGTGTTGATGAGATGAACCATTGAGGCCCTAGACATTAGGTCAAATGATTTAGAAAGGCAGTGATAAGTATGATCAAAATTCTAAGTGTTCATAGAAGATAGAATAGTTAACAATATCCACTTGGTGTTGTTTTAATTGCATCTTCCCATTGTTATTTAGGACTGCAATTGATCAGTCGCTTGTTGGAATATGTGCATCCTGTATGGATTGCCTCGATAAAGCCTTAAGCAGGTGGCTATCAAGACTCAGTTGCTAAGTGGATAACTCGATAGCGTTTGAAGCGAATGATACTGGGCTCGAGACCCGGAGTGAACACCAAATCTGGGATGCAGGCACATCCAGTTGACGAGTCCTAAATTGGGAGGAAACGCACGTCCTGGATCCCACTGCTGGCTACTATCCATCTTTAGTTAACAATATCGTTTATGAAAATGATATTATGTGATTGTGAGAACAAAATGACGGTTATTCACCGTCCATATTAATAGTATTGTTTTATATGTATTTAACATTTAAGTTAGGATTTCAAGTTATGAAGAACGAATTCATTGTAGTATCAGATTACGTAAAATGGGTTGAATAAGTCAATTATTCCTTTATCACATACAATGGTATTTTTCCTATAGAAAGTTAAATTTACCATTACTCAAAAATGCGAACATCTTTTTATAGTCAGAGAGGGGTTTTGTGGATATTATAATAAATTTAATGGTTGAGATCATGAGTCAGTTGAAGCTAGACAACCATAGGAAACCTGGAAGCAATGGATGGCCGTTTCGTCCTATTGTGGGACCCCTCAGCTGTGTGCATCCACGATCCCGCTTCGTGAGATTCGAATGCAGGACCTATCAGTCCCGCGTGAGAGCGCTTAACCACGAGACCATTGAGCTAACTGGGATCCAAATGTGTTAGTGTCTAGGTTCAACTAATCCACGAATTTGAGCGACACATCCAACATTGTCTTTAGTGAGTTGCTATCTAATATAAGACCTAGCTGAACTCCACTGTTCACTGCTTCTCACTAAAACTCCAGAAAATACCCCATGGAGACCGTCACTAGTGAGCATATGATGATTATAATCACAGAGGGGTTTTGTGGACATTATAATAATTTTATTAGTTGAATTCATGAGTCAATTGGAGCTAGACCACTGCTGAGGAGTCCAAAACTAGAACGAAACGTCCGCCTAATGCTTTCAGGTTTTCCATGGTAGTCTAGCTTCAATTGACTCATGAATTCAAATATTAGAATCTTTTAATACACTTATATTCACCATAATCAACATAAAATATCACGTCTAGTTCGAGCGTAGAAATCAATAAGGACAACTGATATATCTGAGAACCTTTAATTAAAGAATTCACTTGAAATTAATCGAGTTGTGAAAGTTGAATGATAAGGTTGTAAAGTGGACATGGATTCCACAACGAAGTGTTGATTCAAGACTATTGAATTTGTCAGATGTACATCAAATAAAGTAGTCTCTAGAATAGCATCACTCTATATATATGAAGAGAGATAAAGAGTGAGGAGTAATTTTGAAGAATGCCTCCAATGTTACACCTGATGAAAATTTTTGCAAAGTTGTTTTCAGTTGGAACGACGTAGTTCTAAAATATGACCCGCTTCTGCCTGTGACTACCCATCATGTAAAAATACCACCTCTTGCTTGACATTTGCAAAATAATTCTTCCAACCTATGCCATGCATTAATTGGCAGTTATGCAATTTGACGATGATGTTTCAACCATAGATGAAAAAAACCGTTATGAAATTTTATACCTGTATCAATACTAAGCAAAATAGTCACTTCAAATCAAATTTACTGAGAACTTGATCCAAGAGTTTTACTCTAACAGTTTTTTCGTGATTCTACGCTAATTTTATTGAAGCTCTGGATGTTGTTAATGTATATGGTGAACTTGAACATGACTCGAACATATTATGTTTTGTCAACTGTTAACTGTGAACCTCTTTTATTAATTGATATTCGATGTTTATTGAAATTATTCAACCTGTAATAGAATGTTACAGAGACAAGTAAGTTCATTAGCTTAGCTTTTCTCATAGCTTACATCACAGACTGATGTTGGTCAGACAAACACTGGAATTTAAGAAGCATTGAACATTAGTTTCGGCCTTGTATATTAGACTTCTCAGTGTGCATTACAAACCCAGGATCTATAAGTTTCTCAGCGGGTGCTTGTTCTTTAAACTTCTAGGATAGTATCCGGTGGTTTATGCATTTAACTCTAGTCATTTGGCGAAATTTCACAAGCAGTATCGCCTTTTCATTAGTCATATTTCTTGTACACCACGAGACATGAAGGTCCTCAATGTGGACCCTGATTGAGTCGTGGATGAACTGTCGAAAATGTCCATAACAGAGTAAAATACATGTCCAGTGCTATCCAGATTTCAATGTTTAACTGACTAAAATCACTTCATAGTGTAAACTATGATTTACATCATTTACTTTATCAAGACAAACATTAAAGAACAAAGAGTATTAGATAACTGTTTTGTTTCATTATGAGACTTTTCAAAAGTAGTTATCGTCATTTTGTGTAAGCTAAAAGTAGTTTTATTTAGTGTTTAAAGAGTGAAGTGTATATTCTGATAGCTCTATATGATCACCATTTTCAAAAAACAAATATACATAGTACAAAGTATACTTCCATCTAAAATCGCTCCTGATTGATTGTTATCTCTTAAATTTTAAAGTGGAAATCTTCTAAATTAGTGTTTATCATAAGCATAACGAATAATGAAGTTTAGTTGTTAACAAATTTATATGGAATAATATTGGTAATTCATTAATTAATTCAGTTTATTGTGAGTAGATAACTGTATTATTTATTTATTTATTATCAGCTTTATTCAATATCATATTGTTTGGTACAATATAGAATTCTCAGCATAAAGTATTTCAGTGTGGTTCCGTCTCTTATTTCTTGATCGGTCCTGATGATAAATAGTGAGTGATCTCTAATAAGATATTAACATTTCATCAGTCCATATCTGAAAAGTGTTCATTCCTTTCACTGTACATTGCTAGCTATCACGATGTTTCTGATTGTATGTTTTTGTAACTTGAAAGGTCGTAAACTTTTCACAAACACAGCTCAATAGGTTATTCAATTAGTTGATATAATGATCTATTAAAACAAAGAAGGGAACAGATAGCTTACTGAAATATCTAGATGGTAGGAACAAGTAGCCCAGATATTCAAACAGGCCACCTTTTCCTTCCAAATGCATGTTGATAATAGTAGATATTGTCACATTACGTTACAATATTTATGAATTTCATTACATACTTGTTATATCCCGATGAGAATAACGAATGGTAACTTTTAGGACCAATTTATGGACCAATACTATATATATATCGTATAATTGTTATGTAACTAACCTGTTCATATTCCTCTTATTATGAGCTTTATTCTGACCTATGAACTGTCATCATACGATTTAGCATTCTTGAATTATGCCCTGTCTACCAATTACTACCTCCCAAATTCACAGCCACATTCGGCTAAATCTTCTGCAAATGTTGTTTCCTATTTTATCGTACAATGTGGTCTGTCTGGTTGGTATATAAACCCAGTATGTTGGAAATAAATAATTCATATCATAGAGGCTAAGAATGGTGTTCTGGGTTTAATAGGCTAGACTAGGTGGGAAACAGAACCGATAAAAAGACTCTAGACTGTTCATACGGGTTTTTAGGCGTCATTGGTCCGATCAATAATTCACTTTTCTCTAATTGGCGGTATCATTACGTTATATATTAACAGGGTATATTGACCACAAGTTATAACAATACCAAAGATATACTTCATATAAACTACTCAGAATATGCAAGTATATTACGTTTGAGATTAGATAGTTGTTGGAGGTAGTCAACAGGAAACCATGGACCCGGGTTTCGTGCTACTTGGCACTCGTCAGCAAAGTGTATCTGTAACCTTAAGAGAACTGGTACTCCCTGACGGATTTGATCCCGTGTCGCCCAGCTTCACAGTCAGAGACGTTACATAACATTGTTCACCACCCAGTGATCAATCAAATGTGATTACATATCAGTCCTGCAGGAAGTTGGTCGCGGCCCGGTTAGCCGAGTGGTAACGTCTCTGACTGTGAAGCTGGGCCACACGTGATCGAATCCGTCAGGGAGCACCAGTTCTCTCAAAATTACAGGTACACCTTGCTGACGAGTGCCAAATAGTAGGAAACCCGGGTCCATGATTTCCTGTCGACTACCTCCAACCACCATCTAATCTCAACATGGTGCACTCGATGTCAAGTCATATAGACTAGTGGTCACATTGCAACTTAGTCGATAGCATTCGATCTGCACTAAATAAGGACTTGACACACATGACATTGATCACCACTTCGTGATCAATCAATTGTGAAATATATGACATTTTTATGTATCATCTGATGACTTCATACAAACATTTAGAAGTGAATAACCAATGGTAAGATACTTGAAACTATTGATACCTTTCATAATTATCAGAAGGGGTTTGTGGAGATTTTAGAAACTTCACAGATTGAAATCATGAGTCAGTTGAAGCTAGACCACCATGAAAAACATAGAAGCACTGGATGGCCGTTTCGTTCTAGTATGGGACTCCTCAGCAGTGCGCGTCCACGATCCCGCACTCCGCGGGATTCGAACCCAGTGCCTACTGGGTTGTTTATAAATACTTTATCTATAAAATCAATAATATTACCTATAAATAAATGTTTAATGTTTACTATTCTAATTTTGATTATTAAATTGTAGATAATTAGATAGATCATTACAAATAGAATGTTATTTAAACAAAATAATAAACATGTCAACAAATGGAACTTCTCATCTAACGTAGATTTGAAAAAAGTAAACATAATGGCTTAATTGATTTCAATAAAATACATAGTTCTTTATCATTATTTGTTCACCTTTCATTGAAATGATTATTACTACAATACTCATGTATAAATTGTAAGTTTTAATCTTGTAACTAATTGAATTATGAATTATATTTTAGTTGTGATAAATGTAAGAACATTAATCAATACAAATGGTATCTATTAGGTTTAATGTAAGTGATAGAAATTAAATTTAATATTATCTAAAATCTTTTTTTGTTTTTAATATTTGATTGAGATCATGAATCGATTGGTCATTATTGAAAACATGAAAGTATTGGACGGCCGTTTTTATTCTCTCTCATGGGATTCGAACTCAGAGCTTTCAGTCTCGTGTGCAAATGATTAACCTCTAGACCATTGAGCTAATCGGTATCTAATGATGTTAATGTTTAACATCAACTAATCCATGAATTTTTTTCATAGTATTTCGAATAAACAATCAATTATGTGACTTGTAGTTATGTAACGTAATGTAAGGTGTCATTAATAAGTTTAATGCACTATCAATACATTACGGTGATTAAGTCACATAAACAGTTGTGCTCTCAGAAGAGGTTTTGTAGGACTGCATAGTATAATGACTATTGAGATTTCTATTTGGAGCTATTCCCGTTCATCGACCTAAAAGATCTGTGCTTTATGCAACTCTTTAAGTGGTTGAACAAGAACAAGAATGATTTTAGAAAATGGGTGTTACTGAACCCGTGAAGTTCTCAGATTCGGCTGCACCGAAGGTGGTGGCCGAGAAATTCACTGGCAGCGTTTTCTCATGTTCAGATTAATTTCATGGACTAAATGAAACTCTACAGTTTCACTAGTATCTTTTACCTCTACCTGAATATCTTTTTGCCAAGCTGAACAGTGACAAGTATTTTGCAAAATTGGGTTTATCAGATGCCTATTTACAAACCCCTGTGGCTGATGAAAGTAAAGATCTCCTCACGATCAACACATACAAGGGTTTGTTCCGATATGACTGACTGCCCTTTGGAGTGAAGACGGCACCCTCTATATTTCAGAAAATTATGGATACCATGTTACATAGTATTCTAGGAGCGGTGACTTATTTGGACGATACCACCCACATGGGAACAGCCAAAATAAACTTGCAAAAGCAAAGTGAACAGGTGCTAGCACGCATAGCTGAACATGGATTTGCCTCCGTGCATAAAAGTGAGACTTTTATATACAGCAGGTATGGTACCTCGGTTTTATAATAGATAAAGATGGAATACGACCAGATCTAGAGAACGTTAAAGCTGTGAAAACTATGCCTAGACCTAAGGACATCCCTACACTACGATCTTTCTTGGGATTGGCCAGTGATTATGGAATTTTCCGTTCTGATCTCTATCGTCTGCATGCTCCTATAAACCACCTACCTGAAAGGAATGCAAAATGGGATTGGTCGGCAAATCGTCAAACCGATTTCGAGAAAATCAAGCATCTCCTAGCCTCCAATCTCTTACTTAAGCACTTTGATCAATCTCTGCCTATGGTGGTTGCTTCAGATGCTTCAAATTATGGTATCGTGGCAGTAACCTCTCATATTTTTCCCGATGAATCTGAAAAGGCGATCTTTAATCCAGCCAGACCATTAATAACGATAGGACGGAACTATAGTCAAATTGAGAAAGAAGTCCTATTGATCATATTTGCCGTAAAACTGTTCCACATGTTGATATTTTGTCTGCAATTCCCCCTATAAACAGACTATAAAACATTGTTGGGCATATTTGGGTCGAAGAAAGGGATTTCAGGGTATACAGCAAACAGACTACAAGGACGGGCAACAACACTTCTGAGCTATGATTTCAAGATTAAATACAGCTTGTGGGCAAGCTGATGTTTTATCGAGACTAACAGTTTTTCAGATAAAAACGTCAGAAGGCATCCTCGTAGCTGAAAAAGAAGTTCATCGTGTATTGGATGACTCAATCGATAGACTACCAGTCACCTTCGAGGCTATCAAGGAAACCACTGAAACCGACAAAACATCAAGAGAAGTTAGGAGTTATCTTTCTGCCAAATTGCCAAACCAACGTTGTGGGGAAGAAATTTCGCAGTACTTTCGTCAACGTGATTCACTGATGCTTATCGACTCATGTATTATGTTCGGTGATCGAATTGTTATTCCAAAATTATTGCAACACAAAGATCTCAAGCAGTTCCACAGTGGTTACCTTGGGGTCAGCAAGATGAAATCGCTAGATCGAAGTCAGGTAATCATAAAATTCTTAACGACTTACAAGACTACTCCCAACCCTACTGTTCTAGGTGAGAAGTCTCCTGACCAAGTCATGTTTGAAACAGGTATTCGAAATATTTGCAACCTTATGTTGCAACCTAAAGTAGTGGATGGACACAGACAAGAACCGTGTTCGTCAAGTCATACTTCGAAAAGAATCTATTGGAACCAGTAACAACTGTACACAGATTGGGAAGAGTTTTGTATAGGATCCGAGGAGCCTTCGAGACATGTATCTGACACACCAACCAAATTTACAAAGACAGAAGATTGACGCACAACGAAGATAGCCAAGTGAATCTACCATTAGAGTTAAACCCATAAAATCAACGACACATATGTTCAAAAATACCGAAAATAATAGAAAAACGAAGACTTGAACAAGAAAGACAACAAAAAGAATGGAACACCACCGCAAAGCAGTTGTCAAGTTGCAAGTACACCGGAAGAAGGAGAAGTCTTATTTTTTGAGAGATAGGAGGTTTTGGAGAGATCCAGAGTTTTCCTCTGAAAAAGTACAAAGGGGCCATGAAAATACTGAAAAATATTTTATCCAGTCGGCATTGAACTGAAGTTTCTCAGAAATATCTAGAAAGTGAAGAGCCACATTTCTGACTAAATGACTGCTCATCATGCTACTACCTTCAGTAAGGTTCCAGAACCTTATGGAGGCTCAAGGCCGTCTGAAATGCGATAAGTACCCTGAATTTTCTGTACATAAAGTAACCTTGGAGTAAAGCGTTCTTTCCATATTTCGCGTCTTTTCCCTCGTGTTTAAGTTGTCGTGTAGAGTTATTAGAAAAACTTAGGAAACTGATTCAAGAGTTCAGTAGGAAGATTTATCAATATGTAGCCACTTCATATCACTTACTATTTAATATTCATAATATGATAATGATATTGTTCATCCACTCAACTTGTAATAAATTGAAATATATATGTTACTATAAATACATCTTATTGATAAAATGAAAGATTAGAATCCATTTACATTTTGACGTAACATTAACTAGGTTTATATTAGTAATGTATTTGTGATAACTGCAAAATTACTAAAATCTTCATAAAAACCCCTTCTGATAATAATAGTATGCTCACTAGGGACTGACTTCATGAGGTATTTCCTGGAGTTCTAGTGAGAAGCAGTGAACAGTCGAGTTTAAGCGGGTCGGTTGTGAGATGAGTAACCCACTGAAGTCAATGATGGATGTGTCGCTCAATTTCGTGGGTTAGTTGAACTTAGACACTAACAGATTTGGATGCCGGCTTAGTACTATAGAGGTTAAACGTTCGCGCGTGAAACTGACAGGTCCTGGGTTCGAACCTTGAAAGTGGTGTCGTGGATGCGCACTGCCGAGAAGGCCCACATTAAAACGAAATGGTCGTCTAGGGATTCCAGGTTTTCCATGGTGGTCTAGCTTCAATTGGCTGATGTATTCAACTATAAAGTACCCAAATGAGTTGAACAATTAAATTTTCAAGTGTTTAATGACTCAGTGTGGGCTACTTCTTCAGCTAATTAATAAATAAGCATACAAAATTAGCTTATGTTTACATAGTACGAAGGAACAAAACAAAAATACTTAGTACGATCAGTTAAAACTCTGGTCAATGTGATTTTAGACGAAACATGCTTATGTGTATTTGTGTGCATGTTAATTAGTGTAAAAAATATGACCTTTGTAATATGAAAAGACAGAGCTGATTTTGTACACAAGATAATAATGCAAGATGTCAATAGAATCAAATAGATGGGTAACTGAACTAAGTCGGATAGATACTGAGGCTTTCTTTCCAATGAGGATAATAGGATTTATCAATATGTGGAAAGCTATAGCTACTCGCCTTTCATTGTAGTTGGAAAAAGCTTTTCTGTAACAAGACGTTGATCTGCTCACATTAACTAGTTTTGATACAAAAAAAAATGAATCGCAATCCACACAAATTACATTCTTATCAATTTCATTCACTTGACTACAGAATTTACATTAAGGAAAAACACTCATCACCAGAGTTGTTCATATGATTGCGCACACTGTTCATTGAGTACAATTATGTGGTTATTGATGCTGGCTACTTAAGTTACTCATTCTGTAAAATTATTGACAAACACTAAATAATTTAATTAGATATTTCATTCATTGTACCAGTGACTTAGAAAATACTAAATAAAATTATAACTTTTTAAATATGTTTTCATTTGATGTTGAAATCAGACCAAGTTCCGTGATTTTCTCACTTCTAATGGTCACTTTTCGTGATATGCGTGCACGTTTCCCAATTAATTATGTTTTCTTGTTTCTAAATGTAAGTTTTTAATGTATTTAAATTGTACAGTGTTCATTTAAATGTCCCATACTCAGTTTATTGTCAAATGATAAGTGATATTAGAATGAACTAATCGATTTGAATGTTTATATGAAATAATCTGTCTTTAAAGACTCTTAATTAACATGTGTTAACAAACAGCCCTCAAATGCCCTAGTACGGCTGAGAGTGGGTAGAGTCCGCTCTCCCTTACGAAATGCTCTCACATGGCCACGCGTATATAGCCTCTGCCAGGGCTGTCCTACTCACTGCCTTCTCGCACCACGGTTGTTGTTTACGAAATTGAGAGGACGAAAAGCGAATGTCCTGTGCTTTAACAGGGTTGGTGAACATGGTGAGTCCACCCAGGGGAGTTGGAAAACCCTGATTCCAAACCAAAGGTGGACATGGGCTCCAGTATCCTAAAGGAACGAATGGCGTATGAACCAATTATTGGTCGCCGGCTACCATGGGACTGCATCTCCTTACGATGCTCCACTGCCTTGTGGATCAGACCTTCAGGTCGAAGGCTCCAGGTGTGGCCCCCTAAGAAAACCACCTGCTTAAGGTTGGGCACCCGAGCAGTATTATTGCTCTCACACAAATCAAGTGAGATTTGTGTGGCGCATATGTATTTGGTGCCTCCTTGTACCAATATTCACGTGTTAAAATAAACAAATAGTGCTTCCAGGTTTTCAATGGTGGTCTAGCTTCAACTGACTAACGATTTCAACTTGTGAAATTTCTTGAACTCTCCACAAAACCCATTCTGAAAACAAATAGTGATTAAATTCAAGCAGAGGTTATCAGTGAAATCTAGAGTGCGTGTTTCATCCAACTTGGGACTCGTTAGCTAAATGTACCTGACTTCCCTAATTGATATTTACTTCGAGACTCGAACCTAGTACCTTTCGCTTCAAACGTTATATATCTAGGCAATCCGCACAGGATCCACATATGCCAAAAGAGACTGATCAGTTGCAGCGGTAAACATTAGTGGGAAAATCTAAACAATCAATATATATGAATTAAAATGAATAATTAAATTATTTTGCAAAATAAAGTAACAGTTGTAAATACAACCAACAAATTCATTTGGTTTATGAACGTTGCTTTAACTTAGATTATTCTACTTTGATAAATTATAACTTTCATATGAGTGTTTAACTAATAATTTAGTCCAAATAATTTTACCATCAAGCAATTCATCCCTGTTAACAGACTTATTTTCTTGAACTATATAGCTATTCATTAATGCTATGAGAAGATGAAGTTTATCAGAATTATGTGATATAATTTGAGCAATACATTTCAAACAATCTGATCACACACATATACTTAATAAGACATTATTATATGAAAATTAAAAGATCAAGTAGACAGGTTAAAGTACACAAAAACAATGTGATAACCACTCTGGATAATAAATCAGTGTTACTAGGGTTGATTAAAGGTAAGGACGAATTGTTTTTGAACGCATAAAGGAGGTTTCACTTTCAGTATAATCAAGGTCTCTATAAACTTTAGTATACGTCCTTGAAGGCTTTTGTACAACATTACAAATGCTGACTTCATGTCAACCTTATGACCAATTTCAATCAAATGTTTCGCAATGAAGAATGATGTCTGTGATCTTATAGCTTTTACTACATAAAAGATTTATGCATTACCGAAAGCTACAAATGATAGTGGTAGATTTCATTTAGCCAATTCTCAAAGTCCTGATAGGATTGTTATCATACAAATCGTAACCATTTTTTTAAAAGTGATTTCAGTAATCAATTTATCAATAAAATCCAGTGCTTCCAGGTTTCCCATGGTGGTCTAGATTCAAATGACTCAAGAATTCAACTACTAAATTACTATAATGTTCACAAAAACCCTTCTCTGATTAAAATCTATATCATACTTAATAAAATCAATCCGTAATGAACTATGTAAGTTCTCAATAAAACCTATGCTATAAGTACTGACATACTATAGGTTTTCTTTTGAGTTGTATTATCTATGAATTTCTATTTTCTCATTTGTGAAATTGTTTATTTTCTTTTGTTGAAATAATAGACTCTGTTATTATGTTACGCATTTGTACCACCAATATTACGGATAAAAATTGGATATATAATGATATCCTTTAGTGCCGCAGCAGTTATTACAATTTCAATGATAATACTCGGGATGTTCATCAAGGTTAAAATTCCTTCTGTTTTGTTGATTACTGTTTTAAGCAGTTTCATCATTGCAGGGCTTGCAATATCTGTTGCATTATATTTTACCCACAAAGAAGTACGTTTCATAAAATATAATTTTTAACTGAATGATACTGATAAACGTGAATTTGTAATGTCGTATAGTGTTTGGTGTTTGCATCTACACCTGTCAATGATCCAAATATCTAGTATTATGGAAATGAATAATTGAAATTGTTATCCACATTGATATAGTAGTTATTGAAGAATTCCAACTGATTTTTCTCCGCTTTCATTTGTTTATCTATATTATCACAAATACGGTCTTCACTTGAACTGGCGAAATTCAGCTAACACAGTACCACCAATCCTGAATGATTCGTTTTCTTAGAATATATCTTCAAATGTTCAATGAATTTTAAGAAATACTTTAAATTGTTTCACATAAGGAGTCCATTATTTGATAGATTACATATGCTGATGAACAGTGTTAATCAGCTGACAATTGTTTAGTTTGAAATTGTATCATAGATCCCGTTTAATTTCTCCCTGAAAATTGTCAATCTGTCTGTACACAGGATGTAAAATGGCTGAAGCAATGCTGACCAGCATATAGGTATTGAATTATTGTATCATCTTTTATTTATAATTCGTATCACGATAAGAATGTTGCGTTACATCATGTCTGTATATTCGTTGAAAAAAGATCTGACTGTTCGAGGTGTTTCTCCATAATGGATTGCATCAGTGAATGTAAATGATGGTTTATTTAGTTTGTTTTTGCAGTAACGTATCAGATATAATCTTAGTCCGTGGTTCCAACAAGGTTAACTCCAAGGTTAGTGTATTTTAACTAGCAGTTTGATAAACAGACATTTCCTAGAATCCCCACTGAATAGATTTCGATCGAAGAATATGCTTCATGAGAATATTTCTCAGGTTTTAGATTTTTAATATTTATGTAACAATTAATACTGAAGGAGTAATTTTGCATATCTAGTTAAAAACAGGATATCATTGATACATTTCGTCATTTTTCACTGGAATTATTTTTTTTTCTATTTAGGTAACACCTCATGTAATGGGAACATTTTTTATCTTGTCAGTTTTACCAGTAAGTCAAACACAGGAAAAAACTGAAAGTGCGATTATAGTAGAACAACTGGTAATTATGGTAATAGTTGGGATCATAAATCAACTAAAGCTAGACCACCACGGAGAACCTGGAAGCACTGGACGGCCGTTTTATCATGGTGTGGGACTCCTCATCAGTGCTCGCCCACGATCCCACCTCGCTAGATTCGCACCCAGAACCTACCTATCTCGTGCGCGAACACTTGGCCGCTAAACCACTGAGCCTGCATCCAACGGTGTTAATGTCTAACTTCAACCAATCCACGAAATTGAGCGACACATCCACCACTGTCTTCAGTGAGTTACTATCTCATAACCGGCCAGCTTGAAACTACACTGTTTACTGCTTCTCACTAGATATTATAGTAATTTTAATTGTTGAGATCATGAGTCATTTGAAGCTAGATCACCATGAAAAATCACTTTACTATAAGTTACTGTACAATATTTAAGCTAATTTAAGCTCACGTTCATCATGCAATAGTTAACTGATGAGAGACAATATGTCGTTACTGAAATTGTCATATCTTTTCATTTACAACTATCGGTAGATGTATCATAGGAAATTCATATCAGACGTTTATTTGAAACAATTTTGAAATCTATTATACTTCAAATTATGTTCACGATAAATGAAGATTAACATACAAAATCTTTAGAAAATGCGAATGATAACAAGCTCTAGTTGTCATGAAAAAAACAGTTTCAGAAGGGGTTTTGTGGATATTATAGTAAATTTAATGGTTGAGATCATGATTCAGTTGAAGCTAGACAACCATAGGAAACCTGAAGGCACTGGAAGACCGTTTCGTCCTGTTGTGAGACTCCTCAGCTGTGCGCATCCACGATCCCGCCTCGAGAGATCCGAATGCAGGACCTATCAGTTTCGCGTGAGAGCGCTTAACCACTAAACCACTGAGCTAACCGGGATCCAACGGTGTTAATGTCTAACTTCAACTAATCCACGAACTTGAGCAACACATTCATCAATGTAATCAGTGAGTTACTATCTCACAACTGACCCGGTTGAACTCCACTGGTTACTGCTTCCATGGTGGTCTAGCTTTGACTAACTCATGATCTCAACCATTGAAAAAAATAATTATTGAATAAAGAGTGAGTAAAATGAAAATTTCGTCTTTTATTAAGGAACAATCAGACAATTGAAATAGTTAAATGATTATTTCATTAACCAAAAACAGTGAAATAGAAACTGTCTATTGCTTACATGCACATGTGAACTTTATAAACTATAACGTCAACTAGTAGAATTGTATTTTATTTCTCCCTTAGTTTACTGTGACATCAAGAGCATGTTTTTCTATATTTAAACTTTTTTATTAGATTCTTTTATTTATTGGCCAGCAGCTGAAAATTGAATACACTCCATGGATGCTTCCCTCCTATTATATATTGTATGCTGTACTGGTGTCAGTAATATATTTGTTCATATTCTATTCAATCTCTGTGCAATTTTTAAATCACAGAAACAAATCAACACGTTATAGCTGTTAATGTGTACAATGTAACGCCTATTTTAATTAAATGCTAATCCGTGATGTCATATTTACTCTCTATAAGCTATTCCTCATACAAATAAACATAGTTATAAATCGAAATGTATCGTTTCATTCAAATTATTTTAATTTCAATTGGCAATAGTTATTCAACAGTTATAAATATATCCTGCCACTTGTTTTTCTAGAATTTCTCACAGATCATGGAATTGTGGCTTTAATGTCTTCACCTGGATATAGTTATCAATTTATACCTATTTAGATTGGAATGCTTTGTAAGTTTGTGGGACAGTGCCAGTCGGAATCATTATTTACTTTGCAATATATCTTGTCTTATAGTAAGCTGCAGTCCCTTCATGTCTTCTGAATACAATGCTGATTCGGCTAGCAAGTATTAAAAGAAACACCAGGCATCTTAGCTAACTTTGTATTAAGAATTCACCATCGATCCCTTTATATAGGTCCAAATTTAAAATGATCTATCAAATTTAACTAGTTCAATTTTGAGCAAATCAGCCACCACAACCAGCGAATTGAGTGTCTTATTATTTAAATTAAAATCATGAGAGTTGTATGCTTGTTAAGTTATTTGTCGGCTAACCAGAAAAGTGATTATAGTCCGATTTTCAGCAAGGAGTTCAAGTCAGTCAGCATCTTCACGCTGATTTCGTAACTTAATAACCCAAACCTGATTCTTCATTAACACTAACACACGACAGTAAATTTCTTTTAGTTATGATTTCAAACACCCTTTTTCTTGTTACCTGAACACTTTATCTTTGTTACCAATCTGCTTAGTATATTCAAGCAAGGGTTAATGACAGGAGAGCTGTCATTGTTGTTAATGTTATTATAATCAAAGGCAAGATTTACATGGTTACTTTCATCTAAAGTGAAGGTGAAGTTGTAATCAGTTGTTCTGACTGTTCTTACTCATTTACGTTATCTGAGAATAACTTCATTCATTTTTGTCCATGTATTTTACCCACCTTCGATGAAATAAAAGCTATTAAAATGACTGAAAGATGTTTAAATCACACAGAATATTAATCTAAGAAAACTTATCAATAAAACGTTAGTGTTATTTGTAGCCTGGCGTCGAGTCGAGTTGGACTATGAACACCGCTACCAAGAAACTCGTGTCAAATGACTCCATAAAATCCCCGAGAAGCCAAATATCAGAAAGCAATTAATGGACCAAATCGAGATATATTCGCTGGCGATCTCGTGATATCGAAAGGATACCGAGATCGTGCCAGGATACAAGCTCGGTTACAGAACGTAACCGAATTCGCGCTAAGTCAAAACCAAAGTGTAAGAATAAGAATGGAAGCACAATATAGCTGTCATTAGCACAGTCAAACAAAAGCACATTAAAACAGTCACTGGTACAGTTGGTTATAATAGTAATTGTTTTTATTAAACCAGTCGTGTTCTCGTGATAAATATGAGTCACTACATATTAATGACAAAATGCAATACAAAACTCCGCTGTTGAGGCATATAAAACATCAATGTGCAGTCAAATCAGAGTAGGTTTCTGTTATAGTTATACGAGTACTGAATATTAAGAAAACAACAAACTAGGACGAAATGGCTGTCTAATTATTCCAGGTTTTCATGGGCGGTATAACACTGCAAGAATAATACGTTTATTGAAATAACATGAGCTACTCAATATTTACAAGTAATATAGTTAATAAACTAAACAAAATCCGCAGCTAAGGTGTGAAGGCGAAGAGCAGTTCGAAATTAAAGTAGAATGAAATCAATTTTTTTAATCTATGAGTAGTGCCAACTCAACCATGATCAATTCATACAAATTTCGGCCACATGATGTTGATAACGCTACAGCCACTTCAAACAATTTCAATGATAATAACAGATGTAATCACTTCTTCATGTCATTTAGGACCAGTTCATTGACGGACAATTTCAAATTATTTAGATGTTACAAGAGAATCTGTCGAATCAACATAATTCCTAATTTTACTTACAGATATGGATAGTGCAGAGTTATACAACCCCGAATTTAAATTAACTGTTTCAAAAACTGATGTAGCTAATAGAAGATAAAAAATATATGTAAAATCCCATAAACTGAATTTTAATTAAATCCAATGTTTCGTTCGAATATAAGTAGGTAAATGTCTTTTAACCCAGTATCTGACTCTAGTCCAATCATACGAAAATGCTATGAACAAAAATCTTACATTTAATTCCGTACATTACCTAGGCTAACCCCGTTTATGTGTCGGCGGTAATGAGGAACGGGAAGTAAAGTGGAGCGGAGAAGATGATTGAACCAACTCGATTTGATCAAGCATGACTCAATATTTATAACCATAATAAATAAACGAAAGATATGTGGTAGGTAGGATAATCAATAAATACACGCTCATACAAAAACAATCAAGGTTAATAAGCGATAAGGTCATGATATAAATCAAGAATAATGACTAAACTGTTCTGTCTGGAAGCTAGAATAACGCATTTGGGCATGACATAACACTAGACACTACAAGACCCCGCCCCCGTATAAAATATCACATTAATTTGGAAAGAAATGCCTGTTTTCGAAAATAACACCAAAGAGGTATGCGGTGAGTGTATGCTGCGAAAGTGTCTTACTTATGTAAAGAGAAATACATGAATATCATATAGGTGTGGACAAAGGTGAAAATGTGTACATACAATTCTGAGCAAAATATTAAGTGTAAAAGAATAATTAACATGAATGTCGTGACTGTCTGGATGATAAAATAAAACGAGTTTTCTATGCATAAAATAGAAAGTCGCTTATAACTTGGTGTTTAAGTTCTCCATGGTCATAAGTTCATGATCAAGCTCTGAAAAGAAATTCGGTAGCGGATTTCCAGGGAGGATGTAAAATAAATTTACTTTATAGTTTATGAAACCACTGAACATTTTTTTATCAAATGCATTTGAACCTATCTTTTGTATCTCGTAATTGAAAATAAACAAAATTTGCTAAAATTAAAAATAGTGCCCTTACTATGGCTGTGTATTTTTGAACCGCAGGCAAGATCTGCAAAATCTACTTAATAAGTTATTTGATGATAAATTTAAATGAAAAGCAAGCAAATACGAAAGCCAATGTTATATTTGAATAAAACAACTGAAAAGCGATGGCATGTAACTTTAGAATTACACTGTGGCGTGGAGTCGAGTCGCGGTTGACCATGAACACCACTAAAAGAAGACTACGTGCCAGTTAACCGATAAAATCCCCCGTAACCCAAATATCAGAAGGTAGTTGATGGCTGTAGTCAAGATGTATTTGTTGGCGATCTCTTGGTATTGAAAGGATACCGAGATCGTGTCAAAGGTGTACAATCGTGGTTACCGATCATAACCGAACCCGTGCAAGGTCACAATCAATCGAAGGATAATGGAGCAGTAATATGGCTGTCTTTAGCACAGTTAAACAAACGAACACAGTAAAACAATCACTGGTACAATTGGTTATAACAATGTTTGTTTCCATTAAATCACTCGCGTTCTCTTGGTAAAAGTAGGTCACTACAACATCACCACACTCAGTATCCAAGACTAATATACTAAGTGCCCAACACATAATGTGACTCATAGCGAGAACCTTATCAACAACAATCTATTATTCAAACCGAAAATCTTACGAATAACATCTCCGCTAATTTTATCTACATAAATAAAGCATCTGATTTTTAAAGCAACACATAAAGCAAATCTAAAACGATGCATCCTGTTCTTAATTTTCGTTATTCATCAAGGTAGCTAATATTCAGCAACTCGTCACAAGTCATCCTAAAATCAAGTACACAATTTCGTCTTTAATTGTTTTGCCGAATGCCATTGATTAAGTGCATATGTAAGCATATCTTGTTTTGTATTTTCTTCATTTCTTCAGTTTGTACCCAAATGATTTCAAAGTTGTATTGAAAGAGAGAGTTTCATAACCTAACAATTAACATAAACTAAAACTTCATTTAAATTTATTTTACTATGAAATGAAAAGAGATTAGAATGGTTACGAAAGTATCATCTAGAAAAAGTTAGGACATCTTAAAAAATAGACTGACGTCAGGACCAAAAATAGAAAAATCTACAATAAATAATAACAATTTTTGGAGAACAAAACAGATAAATATTTTGATTGAGATCATGAACCGATTGGTGTTAGACCACCATTGAAAACCTGGGAACACTGGACGGCCGTTTCGTTTTCATCCACACATCTGACATTTCGATAAAAATTTGTGGTGTTGTATGAACTAATGATTGTTTTTGTACTTATTGTACGCCTGATTTCGAATTCTAAACATAATACATTAGTTTGTGTTTACACTGTTCTGCTTGGTTTAAATTGCATTATTTTGGGGATTTCTAGTTTATATAATAATTCAAATACTTCTAATCATTACAAAATTCCTCACAGCAAATCTGACAAACTAATAAACCGTCGAAAAAAATACGAAGAAAAGAATCGCAATCTACACAAATTACATTCTTATCAATTTCATTCACTTGACTACAAAATCTACATTAATTAAAAACATTCATCACCAGAGTCGTTCATATGATTGTGCACTTTGTTCATTGAGTAAAGTTATGTGATTCACAAGTGTGAAACTCATGGATTTATATGTACACAGAATACTGCTTTTCATTTCGCGTTTACACAGAAACAATCTAATTCACAAAACACCTGTCACTCTTCATATATTACTTTATCGACAACTCTCCTCCGGCTAGTCAATCTACACATCAGTAAAGGGTTTTTTCAAGCTCTTTTTTACGTTGAGCACTTAAAACACCTAAACCCTTTCCCCTTATCGTATCGTACGATGAGAGGTGACCTCATATTACCATTCAGTATATTTAATAACGATTTTTGTGTCAATATATTTTGTCTTTTTGCTCCCTCTAGAATTAATAAGCTCGGTAGTCTTAGCAAGCAAGTTAAAAAACCGCGACCTCATAAACTTGGAGTGAGCTTCCGTTTTTCCCATCGAGTAATCAATCACTAGAATGCGTTAACCGAGCAAGTAGTATCAGTTCGATCAGTAAACACTTTCAAGGAGATGCTAATAACATGAGCTACTCAATATTTACAAGTAATATAGTTAATAAACTAAACAAAATCCGCAGCTAAGGTGTGAAGGCGAAGAGCAGTTCGAAATTAAAGTAGAATGA